GTATGTTCTTACTTTGGTCATGATACTTACAATGTGTTTATATTCTCATGTTTCATGTTGAAAAAACTGTTCCATCTTCCACAGATGTCTGTCCCTTTAACTGCTCATCTGTTCTCAACTACCTGCTACCACCATCTATACTACCATGTGGTTAGAGACACGCTGGAAGAACATCCGCCAAACCTTGCTGCTTCTTTTCACTGCTGCTCTTCTCATTGGGGTCACCATGCTGGCCATTTCATCTAATATCAACCCAGTAGGCTATTTCTTTCTAGGGGTAGGGGGAGTGTGCCTGGTCGGCTATTTGCTGAGTGTGTTTGTTGAGTGTTACCTGAGGAATCAACACCGACATGACGCAAATGAAATACCTCCAAACAGTCAAAGCCAAGCAGGGTAAGCAGCAACCTGGTTATTGTTCTTTAACCCTCTCACCTCAGTCATGGACATTTTACACACTGTTTTGCTGCCCTTCCCTGGGGCAACAAACACAGACTCCATTCCCAAAGACAAAAGTTGTTTTCAGGTTGTTTTCCTTCATTCTTCAGGTGGAGGTTGCAAATATCTATGCCACGCATCTCGTGTATCTTGTACAATATGTATTTTCTTCCCCCCGGAAACTGATTCACTAAAAATTTCCAAGGTTAAACAGATCCAGGCCCAGTTTTATTTTACTTTGAGTAATCGAGGCTTGCCAAACAATGACTCAGACAAGGAAAAAGAAAAAACACTGAAGCAATACTGAATCTTATTTGGGTTTAGTTCTATAAAACTTATCTCTGGAGCAACTGTTCCTTGGCAAACTTTTTAAAAGAAACCTGTAACTGGATCTGTTTCCAGTCTTAAAATCCCAATTTGACACTAATAAATCCTGATTTTGAGAGGCTTTGAATACTTCTTTTGGGCTTCATGTATATTTGCAGGTTTTCAGTATCACCTAATTTAACCCTTGTTTGCCTACTATAGTTGACAAGTTTGACTTTATTTGTATCTTTGCTTCCTTGTATTATCCAGGTAATCATTTTCCACATCCATAAATGACTTAACACTCTCAAATACAGGACCTGTGGAAGGAGAAAAAATGTTACTATGTGTTTATTTTTAGAAAGACTACATAAAAAGAAGTCTATATTGGGCTCTGCTATCTTGGGGGCATACTAGAAGAAAATTAGTATCTTTTATTTGAAAATATGACCCGAAAAGGAAAATGTTCCTAAAGTAGCATTTTTTTTCAGATAATTCTTCTCAACACAGAACAATTAATCCTTGTTTAAATGAAATGAAAATACTAATTTTCTCCAGTTCTTAAAAATAGATGAACACTGAGCTAATGTATTAAAAAAGCAAGGTCCTGTTTTATTCCAAGAAATAATCAGTAACTAACAATTCTTAGTAATAAATTTTAACTGGTAGGAGATTTTAACTGAGGGACATCAAGCTAAGCCTAGTACACAGAACTGAACAGTGTGGGTCGCCTCACTTATCCTGGAGAGTGTGGGAAAATGGTCAGATGAGCCATTCTCTATACCTGTAAGCAAGATATTAAGTTGGCTGGACGAGTGAACTGATCCAGGGGCAGAATACCCTATACAGCAATACCACGTGAAATACCCTGTCTCAGTCCCATCTATTTGTTGATTGTAGGATGGTCCCTATAGTACATAATCTGTGCTATCTGCCTCTGCATAAACTAAGCAGTAAAATAACCGATGTAACTGGCCTTCCTCTCTTGAACAAGGGTGAATGCTGCCTTTGAAGCGCCCACCTATGAGGAGGTGATGACCATGTCAGCTCCAGCAATATGGACGATTACATCCAACCCAGGCCCAGTGCCCTCGCCACTGAGCGAGCCTCCTCCTTACAGCGTTGTTATCGAATCCTCTGGCCAACAAGAGATTACAGTGGAGGCTCTCCGGGTGTCAGTGCCACCAGACACGAGGCCCACCTCTGAGACAGACACGGGCTCCAGGATACAGCTACAGCTGGTGTTGCCCCCAAGACCGCAGAGGTTTGTTTCGGACATCCATGAGGAGAGAGATATTGAAGACAGGTTTGAACCACTAGAACCACTCACTCCACCACCTGCTTATGAGAGTGCCATCAGTGATGAGGTTTTTGAAGATGCTTGCCAGCCCTCTGTCTTATGATTACTTTCACCTTCCATGAATACAGAACCAAACCCTTACCCTAATACAGAATGCTTCTAGAAAGAAGGTGAAAGGGCTGAGATTTTTCATGCCTGAAACTGTAAAAGTTTGTCTCACCATTCTTTGAAACAGAGTTGAACTACAAACACAGCTTCTGATGTCACTAGAATCTTTTTGCACAAAATAAAAATCGATGCAATACCACAATGCTTTGACTTGGCAGATACATAAAACCATTGTGAGGAAAGTTGTGTTATATATGGCAACATTCTCAAACTGAAGATATACCTTTTGGGGGAAAAGAGGAAATCATGAGAAGAGACAAGGTTATCAAAAGACCTCTGAAGAAGGACTGTAAGATGCAGCCAAAAGAATCTGCCTGGGAAAGGGGAGGAACAGAAACAGCACTAAGCATGTTCTGCCTGTGCATTACAAACAGCAATATTGCTGAGAGCTGTGCGGTCATCAGCCACCCAGAAATCCCTACAGAGAGACCAAGCCTGCACTTCCCTGAGTTGTCGTTTTGTGGCAACAAAAATTTATGGTTTGCGCTGTTTCTCGCTGCCCCTCTGCCACACCTGTGCCACATCCTCAGCTGTGCTGCACTGCAGCATGACTGAGGGGAGGGTGGTTGTCTGCATCTGGAAGCTGGTACCACCCGATATGTGTCACTTAAGGTTGAAAAGCTGACAGCAAGCATGGCACCATAAAATGACTTCTGTTCTTCACAAGGTTCTCATCCCACACAGCCAGTAGTGTACAAGAGGGGGATAATTTTTCCTCCTGTAAGAGAGGCCAGCAGTGGGATATACACACATATAAGCATCTTCTGCCTAGATCAGTAGTCTTGGTGGCTCTACAGCAGGGTGTGTGTCTCTGCTGTAATATAGCCCCTAACAGATGGCTTGAGAGACTTTATTGTCATCATGGCAAGGACTTGCACGGAAATCTCTGTAACCACGCTGTACTCAGAGGCTTCTCTCTGGACTCTGGAAAGGTCCAGTCTGTCTGCCGAGGCCAGAGCTGTACCGGAGAGCACCTGAGAATAATAGTCCCAAGGCACAAGCGGTCTTCATCATGATGGCTCTAGGCTGGAGCCAGGTTTTAGCTCTCACTGATCAGTGGTGATGTGCAGTCTCTTAAAATGGGTGAGTTAAACTGATAGCCTCTGCAGTGTCAAAGTGGTCTACATCCATAGACCATGCAAGGAGACATTAATGTCTGGTGAATGTCCAAATTAAAAAATAAAAATAAAAATGGTGGTCCAAATCTCCTCATGAAGGAGAGCGGCAATCATCACAGCCTTGCTCGTATGACTGCATCATCTTGAATTCCTATGAGGAACCATCAAACCACAGCTAGAAGCAAACAAACTATTTCTTATAGTTTGATTCTTTATAGTTCAAAGAAAAAAAAGGACCCTCTATGTTGTTTGTAAATAAACAGGACTGCATTAAAAATTCCAGGTGGCATCATTTATATTTCCTCCCAAAACAACCACTCCACAAAGCCGTGCTTTTGGCTCATATTCTGCTTATTTGATAATCTTGGCTTAGAAAAAGGAGAGGTGTTCCATTTCTGAATGTACAGCTACATCACTTTAATATTATTAGTGATGAAGCAGGTATGATACCTCTATCGTAGAAATATTGTGAGAGACAAATTTGCTGATAGAGGCAATGTGATTTCTTTAAAGCCAATCACTACTGGCATTTCCCTCCTCTAACTGCAAACAGAAAAGAAAAAACCTCACTAAAAAGTGATATAGGTAGACAACATAGGCATAGAAATTTTGAGTCTTAAACTGGGCAACTCTGTGTGCACCAAACTGCCAGGAGTGAGGAATAAATTCACGTAACCACCAGAGATTAAAAATTGGCCAAAACAAAGACCAAAAATGCATCAGTTATGACCACTTGGATTTTGTTTTCAGTATCTGTAAGGGTTTTCAAGCCTTTGGACTTGTGTTAAGCTTTAGCATGTGGAACTCCTGCACACCAAGGAGCAACCATCTGAAGTCCTATGAGGAACAGCTGTGGGAGCTGGGGTTGTTTAGCCTGCAGAAAAGGAGTTTCAGGGGTGACCTTATCACCTTCTTCAACTACCTGAAAGGAGTGTGTGGGGGGGTGTCCTATTATCCCAGGCAACTTGCGACAGGACGAGAGAACATAGTCTTAAGCTGTGCCAGAGGAGGTTCAAGTTAGCCATCAGGAGGAGTTTCTTCACAGAAGGGTTGTCAAGCATTGGAACTGGCTCTCCAGGAAGGTGCTGGAGACACTGTCCCTGGAAGTGGATGTGGCACTCAGTGCTATAGACTAGTTTGACAAGGTGGTGTTTAAAGGTTGGACTCGATGATGTCAGAGGTCTTTTCCAATCATAATGACCCTGTGATAATGTGACAAGTGCTGCAAATTTGCTTATGCTAGAAGGATGGTCACTTTGATCTTCCCTTCGTATTCCAATGTTCTCTGCAAACCCTGTGTGCTCCCTGTCTCCCTCTGAATTACTGCGCGTTATCTTTTCTGACTTCAGCTGATTTCCGCTGAAACACGTGTAACAAAACACAGGAAACAAAACCTCTAACAAAAAAAAAAAATCCAAGAACCGGTATGTTCGCAAAGAAAGCTGCAATTGTTAATACTCTCTGCAGACAGGACCCATGCCGCGCCTCTGCTGTGCCGCACTATAACCCCCCTGCCACGATGCCATGATTCCACCCCTCCAGCCCTCCAGCCCTCCACCCTCCGTCCCTGAGAGGCCGCGCCCCGGCCCGCGCGCGGGCAGGAGGCGGCGGGAAACCCCTCCCGCTCCATGGGACGTCACGTGACAGCGGGAGAGCGGGTCTCGCGCTTTGAATCGCGGGTGCCGCCGGGAAAAGGCGGGTGGAAAGGGCCTTTTCCGTCTGTTGTGAGCGGGAAGTTGCCGCCCGTGGGATCCCTCCTGAGCGAAAAGTCGAGAGGAGTGCGGGTGGGTCTTTGCCGCTGAGCGTGCCCCGAGTCTCCCCTCTTCTCCCAGGATGCTGGTGGCGTGCGGAATGCAGCGGTGTCACCAGGAAGCGCTCAAGAAGAACCGGGTGATCCTGGCGAAGCAGCTTGTGTTGCATGTACTGGTGGAGCACTTGGTAGAGAAAGACATCATCACCCCGGAGATGGTGGAAATGATACAGGTACGCGGGGTGGGCTCGCCTGCGCCGTGGCCATTATTTCTGGCTAAGCTCGCTGTCGTTCAGTGGCAGCATGGAAGAAACCTCACCTGTGTGTTACCTGCACATTTTAACGTGATTGCATTTAGGGAACGTGCAAAGCCTTGTGGGGTTTGATTATAGCGTGCAGAAGAACTGAGGTGCTTTTGGCAATGTGTATTTTGTCAAAAGTTCACTATTTGGGTGCCGATATGCAGTTGCAACAGGCTGCAGTGTGTGGATCGGAGTCCTTTGTTGTCTTTTTGCACCTCTTTTTTCTCCACTCGTAGAAGCAGAAATAGTACCTGTTTCCAAAAGAATACCGTGAAAGCAAGTAAATGAATACATTATCGACCAGCTTGTTGTGGCACCTTTCACACAAAGAATTTGTGCTGTATATGTGTTTTTCTAAACTGCGTGAAGAACATTGCAGGATTCAAGGCCCACTCTCAGCTGACAAATGCCGTTTGTTTGTAGGCCTGTCTTACTTACCCTGTGCAGAGGGTACTATGGAGAGAAGTCATTGGAAATAGCTTGGGATTTCTTCCAGAGGGATGGTAGTGCACTGAACACCATGCAGGATGGAGATACAGGTCTTCAAAGAAAGCAGACTGGAAAGGAAATGACTGAAGTTGCACGGCAAGTGCATCTCAGGACTCAAGTAAGCAACTGAGAGAGTTTTTAGTTCCCTAGTAAAGTTGATGGTCCTGTAATAAGAACAGATTATGAACTATTTGCTAGGCATCACTGCTGACAGTGTAAACCTGAGACTGATAAGATTCTTGATAGCAATGTGGAAATAACTTCCAGATTAATTTTGAGTCATTGTCAAAGGTAACATGAATCACTTTACATACTTTGGCTCAGTGTCAAAGATAATGACAGATTCCTCATGGGACCTGTCAAGGATATCAGTGCTAAGTTGTGGGAGATGCGGGCAGTCTTACCTGAAATAGTTCAAGTCCCTTCTTGTTCTGGTTTTGGCTGGAATAATTTCTTCATAGTAGCTGGTGTGGGGCTGTGTTTGGATTTGTGCTGGAAACAGTGTTGATAATATAGAGGCGTTTTAGGCATTGCTGAGCAGTGCTTACACAGAGCCAAGGACTTTTTTTCTCGCCCCACCTCAGCAATCATGCGGGGGGGGGGGGGGGAGGGGGAGGGGACATATCTGGGACAGCTGACCTCAACTGACCCAAGGGATATTCCACAATATTTGGTGTCATGGTCAGCATATAAAGCTGGGGAGGACGAAGGAAGAAGTGAACTCTCAGAGCGACAGTGTTTGTCTTCCCAAGTCACCTTTTCACGGGATGGAGTCCTGCTGTCCTGGGGGTGGCTGAACACCTGCCTGCTGACAGGAAGCAGTGAATGAATTCTTTATTTTGCTTTATGTGTGTGGCTTTTGCTTTACCTATTAAACCATGTTTATCTCAAGTTCTCTCGCTTGTTCAGTTTTGATTCTGCCCACTATCCCGCTGGGGAGGGAGTAACTGACTGTCTGTCTGGTGCTTAGCAGCCCACGGGTCTTAAACAGCAACATTGCTGAAGTATGGGTGATTAGTAGGGATGTTCATTTGATGGCCTGCAGTTTGTCACTGAAGGGAAAGTGAGGGGAGGGGAAGGAAAGGGGTAAAAAAAAAAGCCCTCTCAGAGTAATGCCAGAGACAATACTCCTTTTGACAAGATGCTGCTGTAGTTGAGACGTATTAAACTGAGAGGTGAAGAAGACTGAGGGAATCTTCCCCTCCAGGTGTATTTGAGTAAAAGGAGATGCAACAATACTCAGTAATGGATTATCAGTAAGGAGAAAGGTGTTATGATGGATAAGTGAGGTAAAGAGTAATAGCTTAGTGAAAAAATTGTGCTTAATACAATATACACACATAACTAGGAGTTTAAATGCATATAAACAGCAATAGCAGCCTGAGCAAGAGAGCAAAGGGACTTGAACTACTGTTGCAGGGTATGGATCTGGAAATTGCAACAAAAATGTAAATATGGCAGAGGTGGGCTGAAAGCGTTCACAACTGGAACAGTAGTACTGCAAAATATACATTGTACTAGAAGGATAGAAATGAAGGGAACATTTACACGATAGCACTAGTCATAACAGTGCCATAGAGAAAAAGTAAGGTGCCTAAAAAAAAAAAAAATCACTTGAATGGAAAACACTTTGTCTTACCTTTCATTTTTCTGTGGTAGGTCTGTGAATTTTTAATATTCTTCCAGTCTCTGGCTCAAGTGTGAGCAAAGGTCTTAGAAGTGCTGTTAGGTAACCTGGTCTTGAAAATGCATTCTGATGCCAATCATCAGGTACTTTAGTGGAAACAGGAGGAGCCAATTGCCACTGTGTCTGATAAAAGAGCATAGATTTTCCTGGATATTATAATTAATTGGTTATATATATATATATATATATACACATATCTCCCCCTGCTCCTCCAGTAAGTCAGGAAATCAAGATCGGGATAAATAGTTACATTCTAAATCATACTGTCTTAAAAGCACAGCAGTGACTTTGGTCCTGTGAGCTTGATTTAAGATGAACAAAAGAAGAAAATGATTCTGGAAATAAAGCACTTTAATAATCTTTTGTAGTCTAAGGAAAGTGAAATAAACCAAGGAGCTCAGGGAGATGAACTAAGGATGAAGTTTTTTCAAGTGTGAAGTGTGAAACCAGTACTGAAACTTTACTACAAGTAAGAAAAAGGTGGGAGGGGAGGGTGTTGCTGGAAGAGCCACAGAAGACAAAGGTGATTGAGTTGGATGAAGAGCTCATAAGGAATATGAAGAGTAAGTAAAGAGTTTAAGGTGTACATTGGAGAGGAATTAATAAATAGAAGCAGCTTCCTTTGATGTCTGAAATGTGGAGAGATAGTAGGATCTGACAGGAATGAATTTAAATTGGGTCATTCAGAAAGATATTGAACAGTGTGAGGTTTTTTTCCACTGTATACACTTTGAATAAAGAGTAAAGAAAAAAATTGTGTTTTCTTTGTAGTGAAGATGATGTAAATAAAATTATCTAAATGAATACCCAGAACAGGGGAATTTTGAACACAGAGCAAAAACAAGGTGGAAATAAAGTGGGACAGTGGAAACAGCTGTTTTTAAGGCAAAATCCACTTTATAAATGCCGCCTTCTCAGAGCATCAGATGTTCTTCCAGAGTTCTAGGATGGACCTTCAAAATGGCAGATAAGGTAGCAAGAGCTTTCTCTTGCTCTTTAAACAAGTGGAACACTCTATACTGTAAGCAAAGACTGAGACTATGTAGATTTGGACATTTAAATGCTCTGTGTTGATCACTAGACAGTAATGAAGGGACCACTGGCTTTGACAAAGTGATAATAAATTTGTTTAGAATGTTTGTAAAATATGTATGGTCTTTTCACAGATTCTGTGTTTATATTCTGGCTCAATAAGACTAATATTATGGAATTTTGACAGGAATTCAGAATTTTTTTTACAACCAGTTATGCAGATTATCTCCTGTTATGCAGATTATCAAACCCATCTGTGGGGGTACAGAAATCAATTAAGGATGTATTGGAAAATAATATGAAATAAGTGTATCTTACTAAAGTTTTACTTCTGAATGTTTGCTGAACATTATTTAGTGTAATCTAAATGTTGTGTTGATGTGGAAGTTAAATGAAGAGGTACAGCCTTCTGGGTGTTTAATGAAGCATTAAGGAATAAGTCTTCCAAAAGTTGACCGATATACATACAAATATGATACATACATACATATGCAGAATATGAACGTTATGGAAATTTCTTAACTTTTCAATAAAACTTAAAATCCAGTTCTTAAGGTCAGCTTGTGTTCTTAACTATGATTTATGGCTTAGAGTCACAGACTACAAAAACATCAAGTGAAGAAGATGAGTGATCCTCAGCTTGTCTCAAACAGCTGCAGGCCTACCAGAGAGAAATAAACAATTTATATATACTTTGGAAATAAGCTCTCAATTTACTTTATTAGTTAAAATAAAACTCATTGAGCTTACATGAAGATATAAGTGTATGGAGCTGGTTATTTTCCATGGACTAATGGAGAAGTGTTACTGGGAGAAAGGGGAAAGTGCCTTCACACTTCTGGCAAGACACAAGTGAGATACTGTTGTATGCACTTCTAGGCAACAGTGATCTCAAAGCTGAGGATTCTGTGGGAGTAGGGAAAGGTACTGGCAAGGGGACAAGGCCATTTATGAGGAGCCTGAAAGAAAGTGACTTGTTTACTGTAGCAAATCAAGACCAATTTATAGAAAGAAGTTTGATAAATAAGGGAAAGGACAGGAGAATACTGAAGTCAAGGAACACCGTTGATACAAAAATAAATGCTATTAGTCATGAATGAATCTAGCTCTGAAATTCTCAATAGGTTCATGAACATTGGATCAACAAGATTTTGCAGTATCCTAAACTATTTTTTAAATTTTATGAAAGAAACCAGGTGATGTGATATCTTCTGTAGCAGAAGACATGTGCCTCAAGGCACTGTTTTCCTGTGATTCCTGTCTTGTTAAGCGTTAATTCTCACCAACTGTTTTCAATCATCCACCAAAAGGAGACATCTCAGATCTAAGTGATAATTAAAAACAAATAGGATGAATTAAAAAAAACAACAAAACTTATTTCTGATATCCAGTATTTTAGTATGTGATTTTTGGTGTCTTTTAGATTTCACAGGGAAAGTTATTATTGTATAAATTATACATTTTGTTGGCAAATGCCCTGTTAGTATTCTAACAAATAGAACTTCTTGACAATGTTTAACAAATACATGAATTTCATTTTTGATGGTTACTTTTTCACTTAGACTAGAATATATTGCCTCATTGGTCTAAATATTACAGTCTGTACATACCAACTACCATTCTGGAATTGACTGTATATAGTAAGTATTTTACTTAATGTTTTCTGGAGGATTTGAGTATCTGCATACGACCATAAACCATTGGATAGTGGTGGAATCATGTTTTGGACTCTTTGTGTATTCAATGAGAGAAAATAGATACTATTCCAACAGTAACTGGAAGTAAAAGTTTGGAGAGAATATGGTGTATTACTGTGCGTGGTAATGTATGAATTGTTGGCTTGTTGTATTGTCATATACTCTCATCCTTGAGCAAATAGGAACAGAGGAGTGTGAACAAAATCGACTAGGAAGAGTATAATAATGGATCTAGCATAGATAAGCATAGTGGTGAAATGTTTATCTGAAATTTAAAGAGTAGTTGTTCTGGTAATTCATTGAAAATTAATTGTGTTGGGTATTACATAGAGCGTGGATTTTGTTTTCTTTTCCTCTGGGTCTAGGCGAAGTCCGGGAGCTTCGACCGAAATGTGGAATTCCTCAATTTGCTGCCCAAGAGAGGCCCTAATGCCTTCTCAGCCTTCTGTGAAGCTTTACGAGAAACCCAACAGCAGCATCTGGAGGCAAGGATCTTGAAGACAGTGTCCGACATGAGCCATGAGATTGCAAGGGTATAACAGTTTTTAAAAAATAAGACAGGTGGACTGCATTTCAGATTGGGGTTGGGTACAAAGGACTCTGTCAAATGGGGAAAAAACCCAATTGTTTACGAAAAACAGGATGGGATTTTGTTGCAAGTTTAAGCTTGTAGAAGCCTTAGTAAAAACAGAGAGGAGGGAATTTGGGAAGAAGAGAATTTTCATTCTACCACCAATCACAAGGTGGAAGGGACCTCTGGAGGTCATCTGGCCTGACTCCCCTGCTCAAGCAGCATCACCTTCAGCAGGTTTTCCAGGGTCATGTATGCCTGGTTTTTGAATATCCCTAAGGATGGAGACTCAGCAACCCCTCTGTGCAACCTCCTCTGGTGCTCAGGCATCCTCAGAGTAGAAAATGTTTGCTGATGTTCAGATGGAGCCTCCTGGGTTTCAGTTTGTGCCCGTGGCCTGTGGTCTTGTCACTGGGCACCACTGAAAAGCGCAAGCTTTGTCCTCTTTACAGCCTCGCTTCAGGTATTCATATGCATTGATAAGTTCCCTCTGAGCCTTTTTTTCTCAAAGCTGAACAGTCCCAGCTCCCTCAGCCTCTCCTCATATGTGAGGTGCTCCAGTCCCTTCATGTTTGTAGCCTGTTGTTGGCCTCTCTCCAGTATGTCCATGTCTCTTGTATAGAGGAGCCCAGAACTGGACACAGCACTCTAGGTGCAGCCTTGCCAGGGCTGAGCAGAGGGGAAGGATCACCTCACTTCATCTGGGCTGCTGGCAACATTCCTCCTAATGCAGCCCAGGGTACTTACTATTTGTCTTTGTGCCAAGTGTACATTGCTGGTTCCTGTTTGACTTGGCGCTACCATGTCCTTTACTGCCAAGCTGCTTCCCAGTTGGATGGCCCCCAACATACATTGATGCATGGGATGGCTCCTTCCCAGGTGCAGGACTTTGAACATCTCTTTCTGAACTGTACAGTGTTCCTGGGTGTTCTTGCATCCAGCATATTGTTAATGGATGTCATCATTAATCCAAAAGCTGCAAAGAAAATATTTTCTCCAGATTTTTTTGATTAACCATTCAATGGTTTTCTGAGTAGGAAGCTACTGAAAGCTAGTCTTGTATGTTGAGGAAAGAGATACTTTTATTTATTTCTTTTGGTGTTTTTATTTTCACCTTTTCACTATCTGTAGTTGTTAGCATTGAACTGAAGGAAGAATTTTGCAAAGATTCCATATTCTTAGTGCATTGGCAAGGATGGAAACTCTCATTAAGTGTATATTCTACAACGGAATGGAGACGACACTTTTGAACAGAGATGTTCCCTTATTAAAATGTAGGATTTATTAGATTACACTCTTCTGGGGTTTTTTGTTTTCAATTGTGCTTTACTATTCAAACAATGAAATCTTGACAGCAGACAAAAATATAGGAATCACTGGACAAATTTTTGGCAAAAACAAGGAGAATATGATGACCTCAGTGTAAGGTTTCCAAACTGAGAATTTGGGTAGAAGTAGAGATGAGCAAAGAAAGGAAGGAGTTTTATATTGAGAGAAAATGCTGGTGCCTTGTCATGATATTTTGTTTGGATTTTATATTATTTTTAAGTCATTTTTATGTGTAGGTAAATGCATGTATCTTTTTTCCATGATAACTTAAGGTTTGTACCATAGATGAAAACAATAGCTGTTGTATGCTACTTTTTTAATGTATCTGTTGCATGTCTTGTAGCTTGAGCACTGTCACAGATCAGATCTTCCATTCCCTGTCAGTGAGTCCTGTAATTCAAAGAGACCACGCTGGATTGGTGAGTTGCGTGTGACTTCGTGGGTACTTGATTTGATATGTATTTGGCTGCTTCTAATTTCTTAATAGTCTCTTAATTCAATTCTAGAAATAAGGTTGCCACCACTTTGCTCATCCCAGGAATACAAACTTGACAGATAAAGAGAGTGATTTAGGCTAGAAAATGGAAGTGAAATAGCATATTGGAAGAGAGAACCAAATTAGTTTCTAGTCAGCTTCATTTACTCCTACAGGAAATTTTGTTGATTAAAACAGTACATGTCAGTAAAATTTTAGATTTTTCAAAGATTTCCTTCTTTGTTTAAGATTTGTAATAGAATTTCACTGAACTAGAACTGTGACAAGATACTGATTTTGGGCAGTATGCCTTAACTTTAACTTACTACTTGGAAAATCAGTCTAAGGCCTTGTATGTGTTACATGAGCGCAACTTGGTTTTCTGTAGCTTCTGTCAAGTGCAGCAAATCAGCTTTTTTTTAACATGCATTTGTGACTTAGACCAAGGAACTGTTCTAATAAATAGCTGTTGGAATGAATCTCCTTGCTAGTATTTATGTTGCCTCTGATAACATCTGGAGTATTCAGTTTCCCTAACCAAGTGTCTAATTTTTGGAGACTTTTTTGGGGTTTTTTTTTTGGTGCAAAGGTTTTAAGGTTTGATTGTTTTGATGGTTTTTTTAGAGCATATATTCCTCCAACCAGGAGAGCCATGCCTCAAAAGGCTGAAAAAGGATTTCAAAGGAGATCGTGAATGTCATTAGCTCAGTTTCTTTGGTACACAGGAGTGTTTGCCTGCAAATGGCATATAGTTGATTATCATTCCCCTCATCTGCTGTTATCCAGAGAAAAGTGTTGAGGCAGATAACAAAAAAAAAGGGCATTGCAGTTTGTGAAAGTTAGAAACTTCTCATTTGATCACTTATGCATGTGTTCAGCATGGGAAGCCTTTTATGAAAGGAAAAACAGTATTTTGTTTGAATTTTTCTAGGAACATTTTGTCAGCCAAACTGTGAAAGGAATAACATACTGTGCAAAATGACAGCACAAGGCTCTAATTTTAGATGAGAATGCTGTTTTCAGTCTGTAGACCCAAATTCACTAGGCCTCAGATAAGGCTAGCCCACATGCAAGCCAAAAAACAAGTCACCAATTAAAATAATTAAAAAAATATATACCCTTACAGTACTTTTTTTCCTGCTGTGTTTCGTTTTGTGTCTGTAGTCCCTGATCAAACAAAATTTTTAGAGGTGAGAATAGTATAATACAGAAATATGCCTAAGAGAATATAGTTCAGAATTTGCAAGTTACTTCCTTAATGCAGAGACTTTGTGGTTGAAATTTATTATTATTGATATGTCTGCCTTACACAGGACCAATGGAAGCTTCCTTGGATAATGGAGATGGTCACTCAATTCCTCCAGTGAAATATTGCACTCCTGAATTTTATCGTGATCATCAGCACTTGGTAAGTCATTAACAGAGAAATTCTTAAGATGTGAAAGTTGTGAGGTGTTTGGTCTATCAGCTGAACACATGCTACTTAAAATTTTTGAGTTTAAACGCTTCACTGGGATGCAGATCAGTGCTGTGTTATTTGCGTAACTGAAAGGTGTTACCAGTTGTGTTCCGTTTGATGTAGTTCTCATTTACAAGTGTCAAGAAATTGGAAGTTCTGTAACACTATACAAATATCTGCCTCTATTTTTCTTCATGAAGAGCTTGGTGAAATGCCTTTTGTTCTGTTGTTCTGTGTAAGCTGTCAGTATTATTGCCTCAAATTTATCTGTCTGTGTCCTCATCTTCTGTATGATGACACACCCTGTAAATGACCATAAGGTAGTAGAACGCATTTCAACTAGTAATCACAGTCTTGGCTGTTTCGATTGCCAGCTCTACCTGAAAGAGTCCTTAGGCTTAAGAACCAGGTCAGGATTCTGTGCTGGGTAGTACTAGGTAGAACATCCTGAATTTCTAATCTTCTTCTGCAGTGTTTGAAGTTGTGTAGGTAGTCTAATCACTTTTTGTTTATTCTGTTTGTAAAGCGTGGGTTGAAGTGGGGTGGGCTTAAGGAATAAAATTATTTTGCATAATGGGGCAAATGCTTCATTAGGGTTACACAGTGTGATAACAGCACTTCTGTCAGAGGCTCTTTGTATAGCAAAACAGAGGTTTTTTTCTTTGTGTGTTTGTTTTTGGTTGTTTGGTTCTGGGTTGGTTTTTTTTGAAACTGTCTGTTGGGGTGACCTGATTAATAAGCAGTGCCAGTGTGAACTTGACTGGCTCCTTTTACATCTGTGCCTGGATACACCTTATTTGATATTCTCCTTTGGTATTAAATTTTACTTCCAATTTACAGGAGTATTAGTAACTGAATTACTATTGATTTGTTGTTGTTAGATTGGTAGGGACAAAGGGGGAAGTTAGTTTGAAGATACTCCTCTTAAATTAGTTCTTTTCCTGTTAAGCTTTTTTGCCAGTCGCATAACTTTCAAGATCAATGACTGACAGTCCCTTGCTGTTACAATTGCACTCACATTCTGTTTTACATCTCTGTCTGCTCCCAACAGCAATTAAGAAATACTAGCTAAATGTTATGAAGTGTTCTTCTAGTACTATTGATGGAGATGGCAGAAATATGTGGGGCCCTGCAGGGGTGAGGGTGAGGAAAGGGGAAAGAAGTTAGCAAGAGCTAATTTGCAGTTTGAAATGAATAAACTGTGTTTCTTTTTAAATGAGAAATAAGGCAAGCTAGTCTAACAATAATAGTATCGTAGGGTTATCAGTTGTGGAAGCTTGCAAACACAGGAATATGATATCAAGTTGGTATGTAGGGGTTGCTGTTCTGCTCTAACACACGGTTATTTCTTTGTGTAGTTTAAATTTATTGATTTTAAATCTTCTTCTCAGGCATACAAGGTGATATCAGAGCCCCGAGGCTTAGCACTTATTCTCAGCAATGTCAATTTCAGCTGTGAGAAGGACTTGGAGTATCGCAAAGGGGGAGACGTGGACTGCGCTTCCCTGGAGGTGCTTTTCAAGCACCTTGGGTATCAAGTGACTGTTCTTCCTAATCGAACTGCACAGGTAAGGAGGTGGATCCCAGTACTTCACAACTGGTATGGTTGAGAGTTTGTAACTGTTACATAATCATCGTAAGATGTTCCTTTGGTATGTAACTAAGCTTTGAACAGGAAGGTGTGAATTATCACTTATGAATAGAAAATAAACCTAAATGGGATAATGTCTGCTCACGTACTGATCAATATGAGGAAGCTTGGAAGGCAGAGCTCTTACGAAGAAAGCCATATTACAAAGGACCATGAGAGGTACTACTGCAGTCTGACTCTAGTACAAGGTGCAAGAATTTCTAGACCACACCTTGCATGTGTTTTTAAAACACAAATGAATATAAAGTGTACACTTCAGATAGACTTTTACAGTGTTCTGCTGCCCTAAAAATTAAACTTTGCGAATACTTGATGTAGTATTTGCAAGTGTGATGTTTTCATGTCCTTTCATTGATGGAGTCAATTGCCATCCTATTTATCAGTCTTCCAGTGTCTGTGCAGTTAAGTTCCACTTTTTCAGTCTTTGCTTTGCTAAAGAAGAAGCTGTGTTTCACTTAGGAATGTTGGTAGTGTTCCATGACTAACTTAATCAAGCCACTATCCCTGGGAATGCTGCCTTTTCCAGATTCATTTGTTCTTATTTCTTTTAAATCCCTGTGAACCCAAGTGGTACAAAACCTGTTAAAGAGTGTTTTACTCAAGAAAGCAGTTTTTCCAACATTATAATAATACTTTTGCACCTGCCATGTTGTCAGAGTTTGTAAAGTTTTTCAGTTTAAATTGTTTATTGACCACTAGTGTTTGAATGCTTGAAGTCCCAGAGTATATATCTGTTAAGTTGCTCTAATATCCCAGTCAGACTCAAGTGTCAGTGTAAAACCTTTGTAAAATACCAGTTAGTTTCTTCTGTGTTGAATCCACATGTACCAACTCAGGTACTACTTGCTGCATCCCCCTGTTGGCCAAGTGATTCTTACTTCACAATGTCATACTTAGAACTGAATATTACATAAAAGAACAAGAACATTTTGCTGGTTTTTGGTGGTTTTTTTTTAAATAAAACACGTCTTTTTCCTATAAACTTGTTGTATGTAGGTGGTTTGTTTGTTTTTTTTTTTGTAAGAGGAGGGACCGGTTATGTTTTTCCATGAATATTGACTCACATTCCCTGTGCGAGTCTGGAAAGCATAAACAGGTTTTTTTATTCTGTTTCAGGAGATGCAGAATGCATTGGAGAGATTCTCCAAGCTGCCAGATCATCAGTATGTGGATTCCTGCATTGTAGCTTTGCTTTCCCATGGTGTGGAGGGTGCGGTTTATGGTACTGATGGCAAGCTACTACAGGTATATTGCTGTATCCTGATGTGGTGTTGTAGGTTGTCTCTAGGAAAGTACCAAGAAAGAGGGGGAAAACATTTAAAAAAAATGAAGTGATGGGAGACTGAGGATTCACATTTTTTTAAATGGAAAAAATAAGGGCTTGTGGCAAGAAAAGGGCAGGAGTCTGTGAGTGGTCTGGAAAATAAAGACTGGCAAGTAGGGGAATTTATTTCATTCTCTCTTTCTGTACAAGTACTAGGTAGAGTGCAAGAAAAACTAGCAGTAGCTGGGGTAAAGGGTGGGGAAGGGGTGTGTTTGTCACATGCTGAGTTTGGAGATAAAGGAGAAAATATCAAGACTGATGAGGTAATAACCAAAATACAGGGAAGCAAGGTGGGGCTGGGTTTGGCTTATACAAGGCTACAGTGAAGAATATTTATCTTCTTTCTTCTCTCAGTTGCAGGAGGTTTTCCGGCTCTTTGATAACGCAAACTGTCCAAATCTCCAGAATAAACCTAAAATGTTCTTTATTCAGGCCTGCCGGGGAGGTGAGTGCCCAAATGCTAAAAGTACTTGGCATGCCATTAAGGCTCATTTTGCACACATGCACACCCTCACATTCAACTTGCTGTCATCTCTCCTGTTTGCTCCTCTCAGGTGTAAGTGGGACCCATATTCACCTCCCTCTGCCCTGCTGCTGCCACTGCATCTGTTGCTCTGTAAGTGTCTTTTGCTCTGCATGAGGTGTGTGCATTGACTTGCAGACCCCAGAGCACCTTAGTGACATAAAGCTGTCATACCCCACTCATACATTGAGGCTTTCTCATACTGTGCCTGCATTAAGGGGAGTGGGGCATGTGGTGCACAAATTGCAGCACAGCATGGAGAGGTACACTAGCACTGGAGTCTTGTCTGAGATCGTGTCCTTCTCTTCATCCTCCATGTGTTGCGTCTCTTGTGGTTGTCTCTTGAGCTGTCAAAGTTGGTTCCAAGTATTTTGGGGGGTTTGTCTTTTTTTTACTTTACCGTAGCCTGTTTTCAACCTCAAAATGGCCTTTCTTTCTACCCTTTTCCTCATATACTGTTAGAGAATTCTTACATGCTAATGTACAGAACTCTTTTCTTGATTCTCATACACCTGTTCTTTTTCTGTGCTTTGTAGTTTTTGTCTTTTTTTTTAATTCTGCTATTCCTTTTCCTTCTTTTTGTAACTAAACACATATCTGTAACTAACCACCTTTCAGATCTGCTAATGATTGAATTTTTCCATCAAGTGTTTGGACTTTCTGAGATCGCTGTGAAATTGCAGATACTCCAAAGTGAAGTTCTGTCTTATGGTTTTGGTTTTTCCCCTTGTGATAGAGATTCTAGTGTATATGCTCTTTCCCCTGCTTTTCCCTTGTTCCTTGCAATTGTCCTTTTCTTTTTATTTTTATCAAGCTTTATAGTTTGTCCTCTAGCCAAGAGGATAGTTCATTCACCTGTTGTCTCACCTTGTTTAATCCCAATGCAGGGAAAAACTTAGTCTACATGAAGTATTTTGGTGATCAGAAACATTCCTATCCCTCTAAGTATTTGGAAATATTGTAACATGCATGTTTACAATATGTAATGAATGTGATTGCTTTCCTTATGTTATTGAACGTTTAGATACTCTTGAGCAAATGTGAATGCGCAGACTCAGTGTGGAAATAAGTGTAATAAGCTAGAATTTGCAGCTGACCTAATTGCGTAATTAGGTTTATTTGACTGTAATGTTACCATAACGAGTCTGTTAAGATTAACAAATCAAGCTTGGCCTTTCTATTCCCAAAAAAGTTGCAGTTGAGAAAGAGTGGTAAAGCTTGCTACGCACAATACTTTAGAACTGGGATACTCCAAAAGACAGAGGACTGAGACTTGAACAACTGAAAGGGAAAACTGTCCTTGAGTAAAAAAAAAAAAGGCAAAATCCTGCCCTTTCTAACCTCTTTTAAACCTTGATTAATAGTTGGAGGGGAAAGCCAGTTACAAAATAATTAATTGTCAACAAAAATGTGTACCCTTTCATGTTAGCATTCAAAGGTTAGACTAGCCAATACAATTTTTTTTTCAAAAACAGCATTTAAAAGACTGTATAAATAGTATGGAAACTTTAGAATAGTGGTAAAGCTATCAATGCCATGCAAGTTAGCTGGAGCTATTTGAAACAAAATGAGAAATGCACAGGTTCTTCTTCTTCCCTAATGTTATGTAGTAAGCCTACTCTATGTTCTATTAATGGCACATTAAAAAATGTAGCTAAAGAAGATTTAGTAAAGTGGTTATTTCCAAAGAGCCTTTGGCAGGAGTCTACTCTACTAAAGAACTGAAGTAGTCCACCTACAGCCATGGATCAAAAAACAGTGGCTACAGAAAACAATGGGAAAAGTTTCAGTATGACATAAAATGTAACTTTGAAGCTGCTTTATATCTGTGTTTAGTGTAGTAGTTGATCCAGAAGAGTAAAGAACTGTGCTAAGTAATGACAAATGGGTAGTTAGCAGTTATTTAAATCAGTTGGCAAAATACCTATCTGGCAGCTTCAGTAAAATGTAAACAGACTAGATCAATCTGTGTGGCTGTTATTGCTGATATAAATTGGAGGTTAAGTATGCAGAGGGTTAGTGTTTTACAGGGTTTAGTTATGTTGGTAAGTTGACTTGAGTGGTGTTTGAAGACAAATGCACAAGGAAGACGTGTAATTCTGAAGCTTTAATAAAAAAAGTTTTGATTTTTTACATAATGGGATGATGGCAGTGTGAATAATATAGCTTGACTGTAAAATTACCTGAGTCTTATCTGAAATAACAACACTGTGAACAGTACACTGAATTTTTAAGAAGATAGAGAACTGAAAGGATTTGGAAAACCGTGATAAAAGACATGAAAAAAGTGTGGTTAAAAATGGAAAAATTTGCATTGCTGCCTTAAAGAGATGAGGAAGAAACTTAATGGAAGTCATTTGAGCTATGGAGCCCTATTCAAGGCTATATCTAACCTGTCAGACAATCACAGCCCTCCCACTGCTGCTTTCATTTTAGAGGAAAAGAACAATGTTGCTGACTTATGAACTGACCATTTCCAGTGCATAATTATGAGATGCCACTGGTGCCACTGCCTGTAAAAGGGTTAGAAGTCCAAATGTACTTCTAAGGCTTGAGCTGGCATCAAAAACTAAGAACCATCATAACAGGAAGGCCTTTGAAGTGGACACTTTCATCTCCTAAGACTAGTCTGACCCATGCTGTTAGGAAGAAAGTAGAATAATAGATTCTCATCTTAAAAGTAAAGGGGGGGGAAGGCAAAAGTATATAAAAATGTAGCTTTAATTTTCTTGCAACATATCTGGACTATCAAAGTTATCACCACTAAGCAATTAATTTAGATTATAATGGAAACTCTGCATAATGTAAAAAAAACAGTTGAGAATATCTATACTCTCATAATACATACTAATAGATCTTGGAAAAGACATCAAAATACTCTCAAGATTTTAAACTAATCTCCATGTACTGGAGTTCTCATATTTGGGGTCAGATTATTTTGCATTTTACTGCTGCACAATTTATGCTTTTGATTAATACAAGCAGTATTGTAGTCAGGTTTTAGAACTAGGTGAGATACTTGGTCCATGTTTTCTAGATGTCTTGGAGGTAGACCTGAGCAACTAAAATTATAGCTCTTGTTTGAGTTCTGCAGTAAATAAGTCTTTAGCACTGCAAACTGCACTAGACATTTTTGGATATTTTTAAGGTAGTTACAAGTGGAAAATCAAAACTTTATGGCTAGGCATCAAATCCTTCCATGCGTGGTGGAGAACCGTCAGAAACTTCTCTGCTTTCATGGTTATCCCATGATCTGCATAGGAAGAGGGAGGAGCAGAAATCAGCATGCAGACCAAGTCTCAGGTTAGGTTGAGCAGTTGTTGATATCTGCATTAGTTTGTGCAGAAGGACTTTCAGATGAGTTTTTAAAACAGCTGAAAAAGCTTAAAGTTCATACAAAAGCTTTCTGCTTGACAGCGGTTGTGGCATTGCTGACCAGAGCCCAAAACTAAGGAAGTACAGGAAAACTATATCCAGTAATTCTGGATAATTTCTTCTCCCCCCCACCCCTCCTTGTTTATTGCCACCACAGATAAGTTTGACCAGGGAGTGGATCAAAGAGATGGGAAAGAACGGTCAGATTCCTCAGGCTGTGAGGAAAGTGATGCAAACAAGGAAGAAAGTCTCAAGCTGCGTCTGCCTACATGCTCGGATATGATCTGTGGATATGCTTGTCTGAAAGGTACTGGATAGAGTCCCTAATTGTTTGTGCATAAAGAGGTTTTATGTGTCTGTGTTCCCCAAAAACTTCATCATAGACACTTTCCTCTCAGGCACTGTGGCCATTCGAAACACCAAGCATGGATCCTGGTATATCGAAGCTCTCACCTCTGTGTTTGCAGAGGACTCCCGAGACACTCACGTGGCTGACATGTTGGTGAAGGTAAGCAGAAGTATATTTACCCTCCCACTTTTACCTGGTTTTTGAAGAGCCTTTCAGTGCTTCAAAATGCTAGGATTAGTCTACCGTTAAAGCAATTGTTCTTGCCTTGTTTGTAGCAAAATTACTATTTCTTTCCCAGTTCATATTTATTTATTTATATGCAGTTCCATAGCAGTTTAACCAAAGTAAAAATGCTGTTTCTTGCACTGCTTTTGTTTCACTTGTGTGGTCACATGATGAACTTGCAAGAAGAATTAATCTTTCTTGCCAGGAATTACTTTTCTTCTATAGAAATAACTTTCTTTTTCAGGTGAATTCATTCCCTGAACAGGCACACCACATAGCTGTAAAAGCTCTAGTACTCACATAAGGTAAAGATTGAGAAAATGGGGGAAGAAGGACTGAAGAAAGCAGTGTGATCACGGCAACTTGAGCTGCTGTGGAACTGCACCCTAGTTCTTTCTCCTTATAGTTTAGAGAGACAATACAAAGGGGACTACTTAATATGTTAAACAGAATAATCTATGAGTACAGGAAACAATGACATTTTTCTTCCATCTTAATCCTTCCAGTCTTTTTTTTTTCTTTCTTTTTTAATATCACATCTAGGTGAATAGGCAAATCAAGCAACGAGAGGCTTATGCCCCAGACACAGAATTTCACCGCTGCAAGGAAATGTCAGAATATTGTAGCACGCTCTGTCGGGACCTTTACCTGTTTCCTGGCTATCTACCAGGAAAATAACCTTCTGTGTTTGACGAGGGATACTGCCAAACCTGAACTTTGACTATGGATGTCTGCATTTTTATTCTTATTGACTGTGACATCAGATGTGCAAGCAAGGAATGCTTCTTCATCTGGCCAGTCCAATTCTTGCTTGATGTGTTTTTTTAAAATATTCTGGCAACTCTCTTTGTAATCTGATTCAGTTCAGGGTTTAAAATTCTAATATCCTAATTTGCTTTGTGTGTATAGAAATGGATGGAAAGAGGATCAGCACTAGAATTTGGAAGAAGTGGGAACATCCTTTGGAAGGAGATGTGAGGACATTTGTAAACAAAGTGAAAGTGAAAATGGACTATTAGTACAGCTTTTAAAAAAAGTTAAGCCTTTCTGAAAGGAAAATTAGTCATAAAATGCTACTTATCTTATGCTTGTATTTTAAATACTTTCTGTGTGGTTCTTCATACGGGACAGTTTACTACTGTGTATATTAGAAAAAGAGCTCCCTTGTGAAGGAGAATTCTCCCCCTCTTTAAAATGAAAGGTTATGTTCTCAGTATTCAGCACTTTCCTACCCATTGTGATCACTTAAAAGTCTATTTTTCTACATTCTTTCTATAGCAAAGTTATCAAGAGAGTTACAAGACATCCCAGATTATCAGCAAAACAAATAGAGACCTAGACAAGTCTGCAGAAACTGCCCCAGAAATAGTTTTGAATCTATAAATTGTAGATTAACTCCCCGTAGTCCCAAGAATGAACAATTGCATGGAATATTATTTTTCAGGAATTTGTTTGCCATAGTAGTTATGTGTCACAACAGACAGCATTCAATCCATCAACTTCTCAGGAGTCCATAAATCGCACTGTACAACTGAAGCCCTGAAACCCTACAGCCTTGAACAAAAGGATCGCTTGTTTTTTTTTTTATTAACAAAAATATTCAAGGCAGCTCTTTACAGTCTAAGTATGTTACTTAGATTATTTATCACTGCAGTTTGTTTCCCTTTTAAATGAAAGGGAAGAGTTTCACATTATTACCCTATTATGAGTTTTCTTTCTTCAGCCATGGTCATTAAAAAGCATAATCTACCACTTCTTTTGAAAATTTCCTTCACAGTCTCTTCAAGCTGTAACTTGTCTCTTGCTGTGTCCAATTGCAGTTACTCCCATTTGATGTGATGTGGGAGATGGGCATTTTTCTGGTTTTGTGGTAGAGCCTAAATCCTGGGATACTGGATTACATAAGGACTACAGGCTGTTCACTTAAGTCTCAGTCTTCTTCATTTTGTAGTAGTAAGTTGGCATAGTTCCTGGCTTACTCCTTTTCTAATGTAAGTATGGCTTTTAAAATATTTTTTTTCAGGATAGAATTATGAATAGGAAGCACAAAGGGATATGAAGGGAGGCTGGAAAACTAGGCATATGCTTTTTTATTATTCTGCCTAGGAAAATGAAGGCTGAGTTTCCTCCGGTTGACAAAGGTGCATCATTAACATTTATCTTGCATTTATCTTACACACAATGTGATAAACGGAACAAGAATCATACTTGCCAATTGGTGCCTTACTCTGAAGTTTAATATACCAGTTTAGAGGCTGTTGTACCTTCCTGGAGTATAAACAGTCTTCCCGAGTGCTCCCTCTATGAAATGGTGCAATATTTTACCGATAGGTATATTGATGAAGAGTCCACTCTGATGGATTAAATTTCTGTAGGATTGTATCAAGTTGTATTATCACTGCCACTTTTGTATATTCTTTTTGTATACTTGTATTTTACTGCCTTGAAGCATTAAAATAAAGAATTCTTGTTTGATTAATCTGTGCAATATCTTCCATTTGGAGAGTCAGACCTCTGTGCAGAAATGGAGGTTCTATATAAAAACAATTTCACGTAATTTCTTGAGATAGTACATCCCAGAAGCACTTTTGAACTCTTAGGCCTGCTACTTGCTAGCTGCAACCAGTGTGAGTTGCTTGTAAATTTTGATAACACCTGAGCTAAACAAAGGCTAATACATTAATAAAGGCATATGAGGCAGAACCACCACGTAGGAGGCTGATGATGTGCTTCAGCACATCAGAAAATTTTGGGCTTGGTGTTCTTGCCAAAATGAATGGTTCCTGAAAAAAAGGAGTCTTGGAAAGAGGAAGAAGCCAAACAGAAGATGAAGGTACCAGCTGGAGGAAAAATCCAGGAAGTGGGGGAATATCCAAGGAATTGAGAGAGCTGCATGGTAACGAATGTCCAGGGATGCCCAGAGGCCTTGATGTGTAGTGCCAAAGACTTGTAACTTGGAGCAGCTATACAGCACAGAACCAACAGAACTTTCTGTTCCACCTTCACAAACAACCAATGAAAGCCAATGAGTGTGAAATAAGAAGGTAGAAGCTCTGTTTTCATTAGTTCTAAAATAATCCCCAGTATCCAGATCCACTAGAGGTTGCCATTTACCCTGTGTCATTTGTGACACCTAGAAGAGTCCGAGTTCTGTTTTTAGTGAAGGAGTACATTGGTTTTGTTTTGGGAAAGGTCTTTAACCTTTCCAGCCTGCGCAATGGATTTTTTAGGTGAGACACAGCATGCGCTGAACTGAGCCCACCCTTTAATCCTAAGGTTCATCTGCCGGGGCCAAGCAAGCTTGGACAATGGCAGTGAGGTCCTCAGGACGTAGGTTTGTTTTAGAGTGACCTTCTCATAGATGGATGGCCTCACAGGGCTGGGGGACTGGGATTCGAACCTGGGTTGCAGCGGTGAGAGTCCCACATGCTAACCACTAGGCCACCAGGGGTCCAACAAAACCGGGCCGGCCAACAAAACCAGGCAGCCTCATCTCCTCAGATGGTAAGATTGATGGGGAGATAGACAATAGGTTAGCGAAGGCATATAGTGCTTTTGGAAAACTCCATAAACGAGTATGGCGTAATAAACACTTGAAGAAAAGCACCAAGATCAGTGTTTACAGAGCCATAGTGTTGTCTACTCTTTTATATGGTTCCGAATCATGGGTCATCTACCGCCACCACCTGCGTCTCCTAGAACGCTTCCATCAACGCTGCCTCCGTACAATCCTTAACATCCATTGGTCAGACTATGTGACCAATACATCTGTTCTTGAACAGGCAGCAATTACGAGTATTGAGGCCATGTTGCTGAGAACGCAACTGCGATGGGCAGGGCACGTCTCTAGGATGAAGGACCACCGCCTCCCTAAGATCCTGCTCTATGGTGAACTTGCCACTGGCTGCCGCAAGAGAGGAGCTCCAAAGAAAAGATACAAGGACTCCCTGAAGCAACAACTCAGCCTTGGGCATATTGATCACCATAACTGGTCCACTCTGGCCTCTAATCGGGAGGCCTGGAGACAGACCATTTATAACGCTGCTGATGCTTTTGAGAAAGCACGCAGGATCACTCTTGAGGAGAAAAGACAACGCAGAAAGAATCGAACCTTGCAGAATATACCATCTAAGGAGTCTTTCTGCTGTGTCTTTTGCAACCGGACCTGCCTTTCTCGTATTGGCCTTTTCAGCCACCAACGCGCTTGCATGAAAAATGGGTAGAGCCCTTCCCAAATCTTCGTTCGCGAAGCCTAGCCATGACATTGGTTTTGTTAATACTACTGAATTCTGATACAGGAAATCTAGTAGTAATATTAGCACTGGAATTACCAACATCTACTTCTGCAGAAAATGTTTCTAGTAGTCCAGAAGTCGTAGTAAACAAGATGTTTGTATTTTCACAGAAGTAAGTTTGAGCTGCTAGTATAGTTTAAGGAATTTTAATAGTTGGGATAGTGGAAAAATGTTAGCAGGTTCACATTTTGTCTTGAAACCTAAAGAATAAGGTCAAAGATTTTGTTTTATGGGATGGAGAGTGAAAACAGTGAATCCAATGATGACAAGGGATTTTAAAAATCTTAAATTGTATGAGAATATTTATTAATTTTATTTATTTATAAATTATACATTTATTTAAAATTCAGTATAATTAATGAAATTGTAATTCTAAACTGATTTCGTTTCCATATTTACCATTATTAAAAGTAATAGGTACTCAAAGGATCCGACTTTATAAAAATAGTCATTGGTTCCCTTAAAAATTAGGATGTACAGAATGGTACTGAAAGAGGGCATGCTTTCCAAAACATGAAAAGATTTGGGTAACATAAATAAAATTTATGCAAAGCTGAGACTTCTAATGTACACAGTACCTCTATTGTGCAAAGTGTTCTTACCCTTCAGGGTATGAGAGTTCTTCACTACATCACAACACTATTAAGTTAGGAGAAGGAAATGCAAGAAAAGAAGATACTGTTATGTAATAGATGATGTCATCAGCATATGCATACAGAAAACAGTTTCTTTAAAAGGAAGGGAATGAAACAAGAATCTCCAGAGAAGTTATAACCAATCACTGTCACAGGATCAGCGGCCTTGGTGAGTCTGTTTAACTAGGAGCGAGCTATGTCCTACTTAGTGCAATTTGGCCTGGTGTTGCTGCTTTTGCCAGTCCTACACACAGAACTGTCTCTTGTGAAGGGATTCTTTTGTTTCCATTCATCTGCATGTTACCTTGTTTATGGTAAGTGTTATGTATAACTTGGTCTGCAGTCTGTGTTTTTGCATAAACTGTTCTACCTGCATGCACAGATTCTTAAGATGACATCTGTGTAATTCATTACCTCTTTGAAAGAGCTCACAGTTGTACTCATTTCTCTAACTTAGAAATATCACTGGAATTACTATGGTTCAGGCCATTGATTATTTTTTTTTTAATTTTAATTTTCTTTGTCACTCCTAAAAGTTTTGATTTGCAGCTGCAAAATAAGGATGAACAGTAACACCTCCCATAGAAATCATGTTTTGGCAAAGGTAAGCATCATGCTGTATTAAGAAAATACTTAGGTTTGGATTTGTTATGTTCAGGTTGTAAAGAAAAAACACAAACTAGCTAGATGTTAGTCACTTGTAAAGTGACTTAGGGTGAGTAGAAAAGGTCACACTGAGCATAGGCTTAAATTTTCTAAATCAATTTACACAGAAAAGGCGGTTAAGGAATGTTACAAACTGCCACTGCCTCTTGCATCTGGCTTCGGTATTCCTCCTGCCCAGCCCAGAAACCCTGGGCTTCGTGCCTCGCCAGGTGCATCCAGGACATGTGCTGGTCCCATCCTAGAGTCTGGAGCAGACACTTGTGCACTTCTGTTGCTAAGACCACAGGCCTGGGCTACCTACAGCCCTGGTCTGACCCAGTTAGTAGTGCCAGGTCTCCTCACACAAGTCTGACCTGTAGCTAACACTCTGAGCACCCCTTGAGATGATCCAGAGAGCTATGGCCGCTCCAGCTACTGATGCTGAGACCCCACTTGCTTCAACTCCTGTCCCCAGAACCCCCAACACCCCTGGTCTGACTGCAGTTGCTGACCCCAAATTCACTCATACCAGTCTTGCCAGCTGTTGGCATCTCAAACTTACAGTGTCATATGCATGGGATAATGAGATTTCATGGAAAGATAATGAAGAAAGCATTTAATATGAAGATAGGACAGATATTGACCAGCTTTGGTTTTCACGAAACCTGTCCCTTTCCATCTGTTCCCCTTTTTATTTCTCCCCAACCCTTTTCCTTATCAAGTTTTGCAAAGTCCCGCAGACTTAGTTCAAATCCTTATGTTCCTCTTGTTTCCCTCTTCATAATAGTTAAAAAGCCCGGGCTGGACCTGCCCAAAGCTGTGGCTGTAGTTTTCTTAATGACCTGTCAAATAGTGACCAGAGACATTTGGTCTTTGCTTGATTTCTGTTCTCTCTCTGTCTCTGAATTCTGGGTCTCTGTGTGGTGTTAGTTGTGGCTTCCCAACTTTTGCACTGAAAAGGTCCTTGACTGAATAACCTTAATAAAGGAGATGCTTTCACCTTTCACATAACCTTACATAACTCATCTTTATTTAGTGGGAGCAGCAGCTTAGGAAGTCATGACGTTGCTCTAAGTAACTGCTTTGCCTAGATATAGAATTTATCATCTTCCCTGAATGAAAAGCTTTACAGATAGCAGATAAAAAAAATGAACAGTTGTCTGTGAAAAGATCTGTGGTCTATATTATCTGCTTCATTCCCGACACACTTCTGTGCTTGCTGCTGCCTCAGGATACAGCAGACAGTAGCACTGACTCAGCTGAGGATGTAGCTGTTACTGCAGCTGCTCAATGCTGTTTTTCAAGGCAGAAGCACACAGCAGCACCCTGATTTTGTGCTTTCTATACTATTAGTTCCTCCTTGCTTTTCTTTTGGCAAAGGCCCAAAACACACAGCAGGGCAGGAGACAGGACCTCCCTACTTTGCAACCCCGCAGATGTCCCAGGATCCTCAACAGCCCACAAACCCTTCCTGACTGTGCTGTTGAGCAACTTTGACTGGATTTAGGTATAAAAAACTTGGTTAAGCATAGTTTTTTCCGTTGTCTTCTATATTCCCATGTCATTTCTAGTCAGAGATTAAGAAAAAAAACACCAACAAGAATAAAAACACGTCTTTACTGTGAAGGTGCCTGAGCACTGGAGGACATTGCACAGAGAGTTGCAGAGTCTCCATCCTTAGAGATACTCAAAAGCTGTCTGGACATGGCTCTGAGCAACTGGCTCCAGGGGTGCTGGTTGAGCAGGGAAGTTGGGCCTGAGCTCCCTTCCAACATCAGCCATTCTGTGATTCTGGATGAAAAAGACACTGAGTGTTGGTTATGCCCATGGATGAAGGTACTAAGACTGTGAGGAAGGCTGGTTATTCATGGTGAGGTAACGAGCAATAATGGGTGTGCTT